ACATGGGAAAAGAGATGAACCTGGGGGGATTTGCACTCCAATATGATGTGGAAACAGGGATGAACTTGGGGGGACTTGCACTCCAGTATGATGTGGGGGCAGTGATGAACTTTGGGGCATTTTCACCTCAATATGACACAGGAATAGGGATGAACTTGGGGGGCTGCATTTTAGGGGTGTTTTGCACTGCTCTTTGCACCCAAATCTGGCACAGGAGCAGGGATAAACTTGAGGTCTGCACTTTGCTGTCAGTGTTTTTCAGCCCTCTGTACCCCAAGAGACAGTGACACACTGAGGGTGTCACCACAGTGATAATAGTGTCTTGCAACACTCTTTGCACCCCAACACAGCACAAGGCCAGGGGTGTGTTGGTTCAGCATCAGCAGATTCACCCACACACTAACCACTCTCCCCAGCCTCAGGGCATGGCCAGGGTTTTACTGGGTTTATGTTCACCCTTGGTGAGCATCCAACTGAGGAAGGTCAAGCTGACACGGAGCAGGGAAGGGCAGTGGGAACAGCAGTGGCTCAGCTGGGCTGGGTATGGATTTTTGGAGATGAAGAGCACACTTCCACCTCTCAGCCTTGTTTTATACCCAAAAAAGAGAATCAGAGTGGGTTTGATGTCTTGTTGGTAGGTCCCTGGGGTGGACAGGGGTGGTTGGATGCCACAGGGATGAGCAGGAGAGTGGCAGCAGTGGCACTGAGCATCTCCTTGGAGGTTTGGTCTGGACCCACATAGGAGCCCTTTGCTCCTGCAGGTTCTGAGCTGGGCACTGCTGGCACAGACTACCTCCCTCAAGGTTTCCAGCCAGATTGGAAGGACATTTTTAGCTTTGAAACCTATTTGGGGCCAACTCTGGTGCGTCCTCACGAGGCAACTGCATCCTGGCAGCAGCAGGGAGCAACTTCAAGCCTCAACTCCACCAGCTCTTTCTGGAAAGCTGAAAAATCCCCATCTGTGCCTCTCCAAACACTTTACAGCAACATTTAACAACTTACTGTGGCTCTGAACCCACAGCCCAGACCCATAGATGTTGTGTAGCCATAAGATGACACCAACCAACCCATATCCATCCCTGGTGGGTGATGCCACTGCCCAAGCAGGTCATGAATTTGTGTGTGTGTGTGTCCCTGTGGCAGCTCAGGGACACAGCTTGGAGTCACTGCAGGTTTTTTGCTCTCTTCAGTGGCTCCAGATTGCGACTCTTGTGCCGATTTCCTCGCACGGAACCGATCGCTCCTAAGAGCTTTTTCCCCCCCGTAAATTAACTCTCCGCGAAAGAAGGAGAGAGGCAACGATCAAGGGGCTGGAGGGAGGTGAGGGGGGGAGAAAAAAAAAAAAAAAAAGGTGTTTGAAAAGGCTGTTCACTCAGCTGCATTTTAATTTCCTTTTCAATCTTGTCCCAATTAATTTCGCTGAATTAATCTCGGCGAAGCAGGGGCGGCAGCGCCGCGTGCGCCGCGCCCGCTCTGTCTCTACATGAAATAGTGCCTCATATAAAAATCCATCTGCTGTGCTTGGAACACTCAGAGGCTGCTGCTCGGGTCCTGCCTGACATTTCCAGCAGCAGCAGCAGTGGGGAAAAGTGGTTTGGGGGTTGAGTGGACAGCAAAGAGTTGAGAGGGATTTGGAGGAGATGATGTGGTGAAAGGAATAATAGAGTTGTTGAGGTTGGAAAAGAACTCCAGGGTGGAATCATGGAATGATAGAGTCGTTGAATTGTTGTGTCATAGAATCTTTGAATCATAGAATCTTTTTATCATAGAATTATTGAATCATAGAATCTTTGAATCATAGAATCCTTGTATCATAGAATCATCAGGGTTGGAAGAGAACTTTAAGATCATAAAGTTCAAACATCCACCTATAGCACTACCATCGTAACCCCCCAAATCACATCACCCAACACCAGAGCCAGATGCTTCATAAATATCTCCAGGGATGGTGATTCCACCACCTCCCTGGGCAATATCCCAGTCCCTCATCATGGAGGAAATGTTTTCCCTGTGAGGATGTTCAGGCACTGAAATATTGCCCAGGGAGATGGTGGAGTCACCATCCCTGGAGGTGTTTAAGAGGCATCTGGATCTGCCACTGGAAGATCTGGTTCAGGGTTTACAGCAGTGACAGGTTAAGGGTTGGACTTGATGGTCTTGGAGGTCTCCTCCAACCTTGATTTTCTTCTGACTCTATGACTGTATGAGCCACCTGGGCTGGTGGAAGGTGTCCCTGCTCATGGCAGGGGGTGGAACAAGATGATCTTTAAGTTCCCTTCCAACCCAAACCATTCCAGTACTCCCTGATCATCCCAGCAAACCTCCAGCATCGTGTCCCTGTCCCTGGTCCCTTGTCCCCTGGCTGAGTGATTTGTATGTTATGATAATTATTGGAATGCAGGGAGACTTCCTATTTTAAGTGGGCTTAGTTGGATGTGACAAGTCGCCCATAAAACCGGATAAGTTAATTCCCTCAATTGCTTCCAATGAAAGCAGGAGGGGAAAGGGAGAGGGGGGGAGCATATTCCCATATCCCAGACCCGGAGTGAAAGGTGTGTGCTGACATCTAGTGGTATTTTCCCTGGATTTGGGGCTGTCTGGCTCGTGGGGAGAGAGAGCTCTGCGATAGCTCTGACCTCCCCCCCACGTTGTGTTCATCACGGCGGGTGATGGAGATAACGTGTGATGAGTTCTGTCGGGGCTCAGCCTCCCCCTCCCACCCCGGCGGAGATGAGCCCCCGGGGCTCGGCAGCGTTCTGCTCCCATTAATAACCCTTCTGGGAAGCTCTGGAGTTGGGAGGGACAGGGATGGGACGACGACGGGGTCAGCTG